GGGGACGGGGCAGAACCACGCGGCGGCGCGGCCCCTCTCGCTGGCCGTGCAAATCCACGCTGGAAAAGGGTTGTTGCTCCCAGGATAACGGCCGTGTTTGGGGAAACGTAGCACGCTAAAAAAAAAAGCCTCCCTTCAGGTTTTTAATACAGTCATTCCTACTTAAAACTGCCGCGTAAGGCGTGGAAGATGATGTACGTTGTTTTACTTTACAGATGTGAAAAATAATGCAACTTTTATTGTTTTGTACTCATCTCCTGCATGTAATCTTGGAAGAGCGATTGCAGTTGGAGAAGGAAGAACGGTAGTGAATCACAGTAGCTTTTGAAAATTTTTTTTTTTAATCTTGGGCCTAAAATAAATGTTTTTAAAGTTTTGAAGTTTTCAGTTCTTTTTTGATATTTTCTTCAGAGAAGTTCACGGTAAAGAAGGTACCAATTCGATGCCTCTGGTAGGTGAGCTGTAGCACTCTGTGGAGCGCTAAATGGAAATTAAGAGAATTGATAGAGGAGCCAGCTTCAAATTTTACTTTGTTTTCCAGTCCGGCATTTGTTGTTGAATTTCATTGTAAAAGGATGCTCTGTTCGGCTTTGTCTTAATTTAAGTTTAGAGATTCATTCTTAAGATTAAAGATCGGAACAATGGGAAGCAAGTGCAGCTTATATACTTATAATCTTACTGAAAGTCAACTTTAAAGTACTTAATACAGCTATTCAAGTATTCTCTTATCATTTGTTTTATGCCAGTTAGCTGTAATTTCTTTCTGTAACATAGATTGTTAGAAACCTTGTAAAATGCTTATTATCTTTATGTATAATTCATTCTCGTGAACAAATTGGATTTTGTTTTCCATGAGTGAACTGTAATATGAAATTTAATGTTCTGACCTTTCTTATGCTAGATTACTGAAAATAGTGCGATTTAGCTTTTCTGAAAGCCCAAGCATATTTTTATTGGTTTAACGTGTTGTTTTATACTGTAGCTTTTAATTGCGAAAAAATAACATTAGACGTGTAATTTTCACACTACTTAATTTATGCAGACGCTAAAGTTCTTGCTGTGGAAAGGAAAAACTTCGTTTTTTTTCCTGGGAGCTTTGATGGCTAGCATTCTTGTTAATGACAGTCATTTCTCTAACGGGAAGATGTTTTCATTTGTATTTACTTTTCAGTGCAGGGCAATTACGCGGCTCTGTGGCGCACACTCTTGGTAGTTCGTATCTCAAAAGAATTACAGTACTTGGAACAGGACTGCAGTTTGAAGCAGGTGTTGTGTTTTACTGTTATGCAAAATAACACTAAAATATAATTGTAAGGGAAATTAAGGAAACAGCTGCAAACTTGGCACGGCAACCACTACATTATGATTCGTGAGCAGTTGTTGCACGCATGTTACATCACGTCTAACACAGCAGAGGTTGGGTTTAGTAAAGCTCACCTTGCTGATTTTTACTCCTGAAACTACTGCGCTTATTCTTACAAGAGGGGGTTAGTGCAAAGACCGGACCATAACCTTTGTTACGGAGATGTACTGTCTCACTAGCGACTCGGTTTTTGAATGGGAACTTCATGGTTTAGTTTCATCTTCTTCCCCCCCCCCCCCCCCCCCCCCC